TCCCTCCCTCCCCCAACCCCTGAGCTTCTTACTGTCTCTGTAGTTTTGCCTTCTCCAGCATGTCATATAGTTGGAATCACACATTGCGTAGCCTTTTCAGATTAATTTCTTTCGTTTAGCAATGTGCATTTAAGGTTCCTCCATGTCTTTTCATGGCTTGGTAGCTTATTTCTTTTTAGTGTTGAATAACATTCCATTGTGTGGACGGATTAGTTTATCCATTCATTTACTGAAGGACATCTTGCTTGCTTCTAGTTTTGGCAATTATGAGTCAAGCTGTTATAAACATCCATGCTCAGTTTTTTGTGTGGACAGAAAATTTTCAACTCATTTGGGTAAATACCAAGGAGACAATTGCTGGATTAGTAAGATTAGTAAGAGTATATTTAGTTTTGTAAGAAACTGTCAAACTGTCTTCTGAAGTGGCTGTACCATTTTGCATTCTCACCAGCAGGGAATGAGCGTGCCAGTTGCCCTGCATCCTCCCCAGCATTTGGTGTTGTTCGAGTTTGGGATATTTGTTGTTCCAATAAATCTGCAGTGATATCTCATTATTTTTTAATTTGAAATTCCCTAATGACATATGATGTTTAGCATCTTTTCATATGCTCACTTTCCATTTGTATATATTCTTTGGTGAGGTGTCTGTTTAGATACTTTCTCATATTTTAAATGGGTTGTTTATTTTCTTCTTGTCGAGTTTTAAGAGTTCTTTGTATATTCTGGGTAATAATTTTTATCAGATGTCTTATGCAAATATTTTATACCACTCCATGGCTTGTCTTCTTATTCTCTTAACAGAGTCTTTTGCAGAGCAGAAGTTTTTAATTTTAATGAAGTCTAACTTGTCAATGACTTCTTCCATGGATCATGCCTTTGGTGTTATATTTCAAAAGTCATTGCCATAACCAAGGTCATCTAAATTATTCCCTCTGTCATTTTCTAGGATTTTTATAGTTTTGCACTGACATTTAAGTTTATGTTTCATTTTGAGTTAATTTGTGTGTATAAGGTCTGTGTCTAGATTCATTTTTCCCATGTAAATGTTCAGTTGTTGCAGCAGCATTTGTTGAAAAGACTACATTTTCTCCATTGTGTTACCTTTGCTCTTTGTCAAAGATCAGCAGGCTACCCTTCTGCGGGTTTTTTTCTGGGTCTTCTATTTTGTCCCATTGCTAAATGTCTATCCATTCACCAACACCACACTGTCTTAATTACTGTCTTGAAGTCAGGTAGTGCCAGTCCTTCAACTTTGTTCTTCTCTTTCACCATCGCATGGCTATTCTTGATCTTTTGCTTCCCCATATAAACTTTAGAATCATTTTATATCCACCAAATAACTTGCTGGGATTTTGATTGGGATTGCATTGAACCTGTATCCAAGTTAGGAAGAAGTGACATTCTGACTACAGTAAGTCTGTCTGTCCATGAATATGGACTATTTCTCCATTTATTAGGTTTTTTTATTTCTTTCACTAGCTTTTTGTGGTTTTCCTCACAGAGATCCCATTCCTATTTTGTTAGCATTCCTATTTGTAAGGATTCCATTATTATGGAGTGCTTATTTAAATACTATTTTGCTTTTAATTTCAAATTCAACTTGTTCGTTACTGGTATATAGGAAAACAATTGACTTATGTATATTGAACTTGCATCCTGAAAACTTGCTGTAATCACCCATTAGTTCCAAGAGTTTTTTTGGTTATTATTTTAGGATTTTTCTACATAGACAACCATGTCATCTGCAAACAGATGGTTTTATTTGTTTCTTCCCAATCTGTATACCTTTTATATCCCTTTTTGTCTCATTGCATTAGCTATGACTTGCAGTATGATGTTGAAAGGAGTGGTGGGAACGAATATACTTGCCTTGTTCCTGGTCTCCTGGTGAGAAAGCATGTAGTTTCCCACCATTGATTAGGTTAGCTGTAGGTTTTTCTGTAGATATTCTTACCAAGTTGCAAAAATTCTCCCTCTATTCCGATGTATGAAAGTCTTTTTTATCATGAATGACTGTTGGATTTTGTCAAATGCTTTTTCTGCATTTATCAATGAAGTCTTCTGATCCGCCCCCCCTGCCCTGCTTTAGCCTGTTGATATGATGAGTTATAGTCATTGAATGAGCCTTGCATAGTGGGGATAAATCCCCCTTGGCTGTAGTATATGATTTTTTTTATCCATTTTTGGACTTGATTTGCTAATATTTTACTGTGGATGTTTACATCTGTGTTCATAAGAGATATTAGTCTGTACTTTTCCTGTGATATCTTTGTCTGGTTTGGATATTAGCATAGTGCTGGGATCACAGAATAAGTTAAAAAGTATTTCCTTTGCTTCAATATTCTGGAAAAATTTTAGAGAATAGGTATAATTTTTTTTCTTAAATGTTTGGCAGAATTCCCTAGTGAATCAATACACACTCAAGGCTCTACATTTCCCTACTAGCACTGTTTTGGCTGTATTCCACATACTTGATAAGTTGTATTTTTATTTTCATTTACTTCAAAATATTTTTAAATTTTTTTTGTGATTTCCTCTCTGAACCATGTGTTACTTTGATGTATACTGCTTAATATTCAAGTATTTCGGGGTTATTTTGATATGTACTCCTTAATAGTCAAGTATGTTAGGATTTTCCAGCTATCTTTCTGTTCCTGATTTCCAGTTTAATTCCACTGTGGTCTGAGAGCAGACATTGTATGATTTCTATTCTTTTACACTTGTTAGACTGTGTTTCATGGCACAGAATGTGGTCCACCTTGGTAAGTGTTCTGTGTTAGCTTGAGAAGAATGTGCATCCCACTGATCTCGGGTGACCTAATCTATAGCTGCCAATTATAGCCACTTGATTGATGCTGCTGTTGGGTCCATCTGTGTCCTCACTGATTTTCTGCCTGATGGGTCAGTCCATTTCTGCTGGAGGGGGCTGAAGTCTCCGGCTGTAATGGTGGAGTTATCTCCTTGCAGTTCTGTCTGTCTTGCTTCACATATGTTGATGCTCTGTTGTTAGACACATACACATTAAGGATTGTCATTTCCTCTAAATAACTTCTTAAGTCTGTGTTATACAATTTTATGTCTTGCTTTTTTTTCTCACCAAAACATGATTTTTTTTCTAGGTACAAGGTCTTTTCACTCCATAAGTCCAATCTTTTTTAATGAACTCAGTTCAGACCAGTTTGTGCTGATTTTCAGTATCACTGCAGCAAGATGCCATTCGTGTGCTGTGGGAGGTGGTACAATGGGGTACCGGACACCAGGTGGAGAGCAGGGTGAGAGGGAGCCTTTGACAGCTGGCAGCTGTAATCAGCAAGGGAGATAGCAGAAGGAGATTCAGCTATCAGGTGAGAGATCGGGCCATTATCAGCAGGGACTGGGCCGGGGATGTATTTGCTATCCTAAAACTTGGCTGTCTGTACACAGGTAGGACCAGGAGCCTAAGGTAGAAGGAAGTTTGAGTGCTTCTTATGAGGGGAGCCAGGAACATGGGCAAAGGGCAAGCCAAGGTTCAGAGTCAATATAAACCAGACACCATGGTCGACCCCCTCACCCAGGCTGAGCTCCCAGCGGATCTTCTGGCTCTCTTCTGAAACTCAGGGCGTTTTCTCATCTGCCACCTTGGAGCGGTACATAACTTCCTGCTTCCTCAGCAGCTGATCCATAGTTTGGAAGTGAGTCAGGATAAATGTTTGACATGTAAACCCTTTAAAGAATGCCTCTGGGAGCTGCTTCAGTTATTACCCCATTCTGTTTGCCTGGGTGTGGGACAAGGATTCCCCTGTCTTCTGGAAGCCTGGCCTTGATTGCCCATGTGTATGCTCAGCATAAAAGAAAGGGCTTTAAAGGATTAGGCGATGTTGAAATAGGAGGCTGGGTGAGGAGTAGAGTTAATGGCAATGCCATCAGTGCTGCTGAATCAGCTATGCTCGGACTGTCCTTCAGTTCCCAGGCCTCCAAGGTCTCCCCACAGAGTGGTCATGCCCTGGGCTTTGGAACTGGCAGGCTCCTTACACAGCAGACCCATGAGCAAGCTTTCCGTGCCAGCAAACTCACCAGCCATAAAGATAAGCACTGGCCTTATCTTGCCCTCTGAGAGGGGCTTTGGCATCTTTTGTGGACTAAAATTTCTCCTGAGCTATCTTTTGTTCTCACTGGAATACAGTTGCTTTTCCATCACAGAATAATAGAGAATGCTCTGTAACTGGCAACAGGATCCTCCAATAAGCATTGCCTTGAAGTGAGGAGACATAGTGTGGCGGAATCCAGGAGAGGGCTTTTTCGGTCAAACCTCTGAAGCCTCAGACTTTGAATCGATATGTAGCTAATGTAGTAGGAGAACCAGTAAGGACAGAGCAGGAGGAAGAAGGAGTACAGTGATGTGGTCAGGATGCACAGTCAGACACCCCTTGGTTCCTTCTTGCCTCGTTATTGTCCAGCTTTGTGCTCGTGACTTACTCTGAGCTTCAGTTTCCCACACGAGAGTTCCCAGCCTGTCCTCTCAGAGAAAGGTCACTTGTCCAGCAACTGTTTATTGAGCTCCTACTAAGTACAGTGAGCCCCTGTGAATCAGAGCCCCGTGTTCTTCATGTTTCATCCCAGATGCCTAGCACAGTATCTGGCACATTTAATGCTTATTGAATAAGTAAATAATTGCATGGGTGAAAAAAAATAAATGAAGATGAAGAAATGAAACAATATAGAAGCATTGACCGTTGAGAATCTGCTTGGAAGAGTTGGAGGTCAAGGTAGTGTATTAGCTTTGATATCTCTGGTGTCACTAACAAATCCATGGAAATAAATAGAAATCAAAGAGTTGATTTAAAAAATACATAGCACAGAGAGAGAGAAGGTTGCTAAGTAAGTGATGGAAGGCCAGAAGTTAAACCAGTTCTATTGTGTCAGGAACAATGTTGCTCCACAAAACAGTCTGTCCAGTTCTGTTAATGCCCTTAATGATTAATTTCTCTGTTAATAATTGAAATGACAGGGAGAGCCTGGAAACTGAACTGCCAATCATTTCATTGTTTGGGATTCTCCAAATGTCTGGGCCCTGCTAACAGTCATCCTGTGATAGATACATGGAAACATCAGCAAAGGAAGATGCATGTTTAACCTTCTGAAGTTTTGGAATACATAATTCAGCTAAAATAAAGGTAAACAAAACCCCTTGGGTTACCTGAAGAGAGATGAGAGTAGCCAAGAGGGCAAACTGATTGCCCTAAATATCTGGGTGCTCTAACTGGATCCTCATTCATAGTTGGAGACTCTCAGAGCCAGGGTAGGGGTCACAGAACAGAGTCACCCTACACAGAACTGGCAGGGGCGGGGGCGGGGCAGGGGCAGGGGGCGGGGCTAGAGTAACGGGAAGAGCTCTGCAGATTTTTGCCTTGTCATTTCCTCTTTAAAAACAACGGAAAAAAATTCATCTAGCTGGGATTCTGGAACACTGCCAACCCTTCCTTCCCTATCTGCCTGTAAAATTCAACAAGAGATCATAAATAGTAGATTGCAGTCCAAAAATACATGTGAGGAATCCTGTCGAGTGGAAAGAGCGACGTCAATGACTTGTGCCCGGCCTCTGATATTGAGCCCAACAGTGAGAAGTGAGGTCACGGATCCCAGCGTTGGTTCCGCCGAGCAGAGCTGCATGGAGGGCATGAAGCAGAGCAGAGGCTCAGCACAGCCCTGGCCTCCCTGGCGCTCCCTTATCTGTTGTTGTGTAATAAATGGCTCCAGAACTCGGCGGGTTAAAACAACATTCCATCTGATGACTTGGTGGGTCAGGAATTCAGGAGAGTTCAACAGGACAGTTTTTCTGCCCCACGTGGTGTCGAGAGAGGTCAGCCAATGGTGGTCAGCTGGCAGAGGCCTCATCTGGAAGGTCCAGCATGGCTCCGCTCACGTGTTCAGAGCCTTGGTGGGCTTGCCCAGACCTGCGGACCGGAGAATGTTTTTGTGACCGCTACAGCTTGGAAGGAAGTCTCAGGGTAGTGGACTTCTTACATGGTGGCTTGAAGAAAATGGAGTGGACTAAGAAACTCAAGTGGCAAGGGCAAAGCTTATGTCCCTCACCTCAAAAGTTCCAGAATTGCCTTGGCTGGTGTGGCTCAGTGGATTGAGTGCTGGCCTGCAGACCAAAGGTTGTTGGTTTTATTCTCATTCAGGGCACATGCCTGGTTTGTGGGCCAGGTCCCCAATAAGGGGTACATAAGAGGCAACCACACATTGATGTTTTTCTCCCTTTCTTTCTTTCTCTCTCCTTTGTCTAAAAAATAAAAAACAAATATTTTTAAAAAATAAGAAATTCCAGAATGTCAGCCCTGGCAGCCCTGGGGGAGGGGCATCAGACTTCACATCTCAATCGGACAAACAGCAAGAATTTGTAGCCATCGTTAACTGAGAACACCAGAGACTGCATTGAATGGAGGAAATCTCTATCCATTCTCTATCCAGTGAAAGTGGGCCACCCACACAAGCATCCTTGCGCCTCTCTGGCTCCTCCTCTCCAGCAGGAAGGAGGCTGGGGGATGCAAGGCAGGTCTTGAACACGTCCTCCCAACCCCTCTCAGAGACGTGCGGCCCTGCAGACATCCCTGGACACCCGGAGACCCGGCCAGGGCCTTCCCTGCAAGTCCCTTCCTCTGAGACAAAGAGCTTTCTCTGACCTCTCTTCTCAGCCTTCCAGCGCATCTTGTCTTCCCTATGGGGGTCTTGGAAAACTGGAGATGCTCTTCCTGAAGCAACAATTGGATTTGGTGAGTGAACCAAAGCTCAGGCCTCAAGCCTGGCACATCCCACAAACATTCAAGTGAAGGCCTTTCTTTGTGTTAAAGATAAATTATATTTCATCAACTTCTATTATGTTTTTCCAGCTCCTAAGCACTGTAAAGCAAGATCGTGGGTACAGACAACCCATGCATCCCACAATAGACATGCACTGCCCTCCGCCATGGGTCAAACACAGAGCTGGACCCTGGCAGCACGAGGGAGAAGGAAGAAACACACGGTCCCTCCCACTCAGTGGGTCAGAGGTAATAACAGAATCCCAGCACTTTAAAAATGCCTCCTCAAAACCCTGTGAGGAGGGACTGTCATGTAACCTCGTGTACAGCTGAGGAAGGAATCAGGCTCAGAGAGGTTAAGTGACTTGTCTAAAGGCACACAGCAAGGGAGTGGCAAAACTGGTGAGACTGTGCAACCTCCTTTCAGGAGATAAAAATCCTCTCATAGAAAAGCAGCAAGATGCGCTTCTGGGTAAAGCAGAAGGGTTTACCGAGGGTGGTGGTTCACTGCTTCTTCTTAGCCGCCCCCCCCCACACACACATTTAGATCGCTGGAGCTGGGAGCAGACAAGGGGAGGGGATCTGATGCACCACACCAGCCAGACTTTTCCAGCTAAGCCACCATTTCTCCCAGCCCCATTGTCTCATTTGGCACTTTCAAAAAGTATTCACCCCTCTGGAGATCCGTCTGGCAACATATAAAAAGAGTAATAAAAGTGTTCACACACTTTGACCCAATCATCCCACTGTTGGAATATACCCCAAGGAAACATGCAAAAGAGAAAAGAAAGCAAATAGCACAAAGATGTTTATGGTAACATCATTCATAACAGTGGAAAAATGGGACGCGACCCAATGCCCAAATCGGGAAAAGGTTATATAAACCGTGGTACATGAAGACAATGGAATGCTATGTTGCTATTAAAAGGAATTACGTCTACAGATTCTGTTGACGCCTCAAAATGTACATGTAAGATAATGCTAAGAGAAAAGAGAAGAATGCAAAGAAAAACATGCCCGGGCTGGCTTCAAACCAATCAGTCTGACTGCTTATGGATAAGGATCGGGAGGGAGCAGAGGGCTGCAAACAGCTGGTGCTCTACAGTTGCAGCATTTCCCCCTTCTACAGCCCACCACTCTGTGAAAATTCTCAATTTTGGTTTGGGGGAAGAAAGAGTGAAAAAGATCCATTATTCCCTTTTGTTTATGGTGAGGAGAGAGGGCATTTCCTAATCTACAAGCTCAGTGTGCGTCTGCAGCGTCAGGCTCGCCCACCTGATGGAGACTCGGTGTTCAGAGCCAGCTGGGGGGGGGGGGGGGAGAGGCCTGGCCTGCCCTGGCTGGGCCCAGTCCTGACAGTTATACACAGAGCTCAGCACTGCACTCCACACAAGACTGACCAGCTGGACCTCCTTTCCTAGTTAAGGATGTGATGTGACTTAAACATGAAGGGGATATTTAAAAAGCTTGAAAAGCTCAAGGGTGTCTCCCCTGCAGCAGAAAAACCTACCAGAGCCCCAGAAGCTCTCCTTTAGCCATTGGGAAGCATTCGCATGCTGGAGGGTTGGACTTGTTTGGGGGCTGGGAAGGGCGCGCCAAGAGCCGTGGACACAGGTTATGAAAGAGCAGACGTCAAGTCACTGTGAGGAGCAGAGTCATTCAAAAAAGGCAGTGAGTTCCACAGGACCGGGAGTATGTAAGCCAAGTGTATAAGGTTCTATCACAAACGAATAGGCTGTTTCTGTGACCCTCCAATGTTACTTTTACCAGCTTACGTGGGTTTATGCTTCAACCAGGGAGCAGAGAGCGTTTCTCTGATTCACGAAGCCCTGAGGCGAAAGCTTATGGTGAAGATGGAATATTCCGCCCTTCGTATACAAGGCAATTCTCCTGGCCCACTGTCAATGGAACTTCCGCTGTGAGTAGTTTTCCTCAGACGGATCGTACGTGTTTGTAAAGCCATGCCTGTGAACCACAGGCAACCCAGACACACAACCTGCCCAATTCATGTTTTCCAGTGAAAAGCTCACTGTCCCGAATGAAGCAGCACCTATGACCTTCGACCTCACTGGTCAAGCAAACAACTATCAATCACCTGTTTGTATCTTTTAATCACTGTACAAGGCCCAGTGAGGAGTGCAAAAAAGCATCCGCCGTGATCCTTGCCTTCAAAAATCTTACATTAACAGGACGTTCTCGTCTAGCGGCTTCCAGACTTTTTAAATTGAGAACCCCTGTTGGTAAAAAACAAATTTGAACATGTACCCCCAATGTATGTATGTTCATGTACAAGTTTATATGTGAACTATTCTCAAAACATACTTAAAGATTTGTAAAGATTGTTTTTTCTCATCTGTGGATAGAAGTATGTAAGTGGAAGTTCTCATATTTTCTTCCCAAACTCTAGGATCACTTTGCCCCCCCTAACCTCCCCCTCCCCCCACACCCTCACTGTGAACACTCACCCTAGAGACCAAAGCTCCCGCCCCCTGAGAGGTAAGTGTGATGGCCTCGGGCAGGCTGAGGCACGACCAAACACATCGGACCAAACACATCGGGGGTTAAGTCAGCGGGGATAGCCGGTAAATGCCACCACCCCTGAACAAAATGGAGATCTCTTGTTAGATATTAGAGTTGAAGCTTGAGCAACTTTCCCCAAACAAGTCTAAAAGTATGACCAGTAAAATTTTTGTCATAAAATATATGCCACTTTATAACACATAAATAGAACTTTAAACAAAGTAAGGGCTCTCATCCTTGAATTTAAGCAGTGCTAACCCTTAATGACTGATTCACTAATTAATTCAATCTTTACCACGAGCCTACTGAGTACCAACTAGGCACTGCATGCTGTGCGTTGGGGATGCAGTAGAAAGAAAAAAGGCCAGAGGGTCCCCGAGCTTGTGAGATGAGAGCAAGTGTATGAGACAGAAAGTACACGCGCAGACGAACACACCTCCAGTCGCGCACTGTGACCTGTGCCAGGAGGACGGCAGGCAAGGTGCTGTGGTCGGGGGAGGAGGGGGCGAGGATTTCAGTTCAGGAGCTCGGCGGGGCAGGCCTCTCCGGGACGCGCTGTCTAGCCCCAGAGGTGAAGACTGAGGCGAGACGGTGCCGCACGAAGAGGAGGAAGACTCGAACAGCACGCTGCCGAACACGAAGCATGGCACCAAATCCCCCTTCGCCGTGGGACGCCCTTGGAGCCCGTCCCGTGTGTTTAAAACGCCCTCCAAGAGCCCGGAGCAGAGCTCTGCTCGTCTGAGGTGCTCACTACCCTGAGTGAGCAGACACGAGGCTCTAAGAAGAGCTTTGTCTTCTGGGGCCATGGGCGATCTCTTCAGCGGAGCACATCCACTCTCTTCTCTCGGTCAAGGCTCCTCGGCAGCTGTGACAGACGACACAGAGGTAAGTAGTCGTCGTGTCTGCAGACAACCCACCCACGTGCCCTGCCCTCTTCGCTCAGCAGGGTTACTGTAACCCCTACCTGGACATCGCAAAGACAACTGCGGATTTGTCCTAAAGTTGTTAAAATCCCCAGCAAGGGTACCTGCTTTATCTCAAAGTGCCAGACGCTGGAATGAGCACGCTGCAGGTTCCATGCCTACGGCGGACGCTAATGGATGGTAGGTGGGTCGGATTTATGATGCGGTATCATCTGGGAATCGCATTCTGTCCATTAGGTAGAGCTAAGTGCCGCCAGGAATGTGGGGACGAGCGGCGCTGAAGTGAGGGAGCAGATAAGTGGTGACGGCGCCTTAAGTGAATCCAGCTGGGCCCGCAGGTCCCTGGGGCGCAGCTCCGCGCGGGGCAGCCCTGCCCAACAGTCTGCAGACTCACTTAACCCTCGGAAACTTGAAATTCAAAACACCAGCCCTCTGCTGTTTCATTTCACGTGCTTTTTATACGCACTTACATGACAAGAAAGCAAGAAGAAAAATCACCCAGACACACTTTAGATTAAATACTGGAACTGTAAGTCTGACCTTGAACTCAAACTTGTCTCAACTTCTGGGGTCTCACGGAAGACCAAGCAAACCCATAGCCCTTGGAGCTATAATTAACACTCATTTCGGTTCTGCCTCACCCCAGTGAGAAAGACGGAGGAGGAAAGTACCCTGATTCTGTTTATAGATAACAGTGAGCCCGGTAAAACTTGGGCATTAAAATAGTATTACAAGAGAAAGATTTCTTTGTGTTGGAACCAGGAAGAGCAGAGACGCTTTTAAATGTAAAATCTGTGTCATTTTAACTTCAAAGCAACATGAAATACAGTACACTCCATGGTACCATAAGAATGTAATCGGAGCCATTTTCAGTAATCTTTTACAAAATTAAAACAGGTAGCAAGAAAATATTCCAAAATTCACCCAGGGAAGAGGAATGTATTCCAGAGAATGTAGATTTGATTACAAGCAAAATGCAAGTTGACAAATAACAGATGGTACGTAAGCATTGAGACATGGAACCAGTGACAGGTACAGTCAAGCTAACTTTGTTATCTTTAAAGGTTTTTTAAAAAGTTTCTTTGAAGTATTTATTTATGGACTGACTGGTTTTAGAAAGAGAGGAAGGGAGAGAGGAGCATGGATTTGTTGTTTCCCTTGATTACACATTCATGTTACATGTTCATGCTGTTTCCCTCGGGTACATGTTTCCCTTGGTTGATTCCTCTCTGCGCCCTGACAGGGGGTCAGCCTGGCAGCTGTGGTGTATCGGGACGATGCCCTAACCAACTGAGTAACCAGCCAGCACTCTGCAAAGTTTTTTTTAAAGATTCATTTTAAAAAAATAGTGGAAGTCTGTATACTGTGGCATCATGATTCGCAACACATCTAACAGAACTCCTCATGATCTCGACCAGAGGGAGCTATGTGGGCTCCACAGGCAGGTAGGCGGCTCCGCGGTTAATAAAACAACCCGAGTGGGTTGTTAGCCCTGCATGGGCCTGCAGAGCTATCCCGGGGGTTGGGGAGGGTGGAGAAGGGACCAGCTATGGAGTGTATTGGTCCTGTCCACTTAATAGTTTTGTCAGCCTCCAAGCGGAGACATGGAGAATCACTTTATTAAGTTTATAACGGACCCCACGTCATAAGGGACTGCTGCCATCTTGGAGGGTGCCACACAGGTGTCCACTCGCCCACTCACCATCTGTGGGAGCTTCTGTGAGCCTCAGTTTCCCCCTCTGACTCTCAGTACAATGGGGATGCCTGATAGAGGGGCTTTGTGAGAACTGAACTGCACAGCAGAAGTCAAATGCCCAGGAGAGAGCTCTAATCCTGTGGATTTCCTTCTAGTCTTAGAAAGTGCTAAGATTCAATATCATATTGATAGCTAAAATTGATGGACTAAAAATCTAAACCATGAAATATAATAGAACTAATACATAGCTTATCTTAAAGTAAATTAAGATAGGCTATGGGAGACTTAACCTAATATCCACTTTGGTTTAAAAAAAATTTTTTTTAGCTGTGGGGATTTTATAATGGGCTACAAGATCATGCTAAAAAGTATGATTTTAAAAAGATGCACACAGTCGGAAGGTACAGTTCTGGTGGTGTGGTGTGGAATATAACTAATGGCAGCATTTGCAACCAGGCAGAATTCGCTCCAAAAAATATCTGTGAATGAAACTAGTTTCCTGATGAGGTTGTGACACCTCCATCAGTTCTATAAGAGAGGAAGCACTCTTGTGTTCAAGGTGTGTCAAGGTCTCTTCCGGACATCTCGGGGGTCCCTGCTCCTGGGTTTCTCTTCAGTGGGCTCTGGTCTTCCGGGGCGGGAGCGAGGTACGCCCGGGCTGTGCCTGCATGCGGTCCAGCTGCCTGGGCTCCTGCAGAAGGAAGCTCTTCCCACTGGAGAGCTGACCTGGCTTCATCACCACGTGACCATATGCTTCCCACCGAGGTCAGGCAGCAGCAAAGTCAACAGACTCAGCGAGCAAGTCCCAGTCCTGAAAAGGCATGGCACCTGAGCCTCCACTCCCCAGTAACCCATGCTGGGGTGATGCCAAGGTCTCAGGTAGTGTCACCAGTGCTCGTCTACCAGAAGCCCTGTGTCTGGCAGCAGCGCGAGAGTCCTCCGTTCCAGCTTCTGAATATTTGTTAAGTGATAACACCGATTATCTCTTAACAATGAATCTATCATGGACAGTTTTTATTTAGGTGGCCCTTTCTTTCCTTCTCCATTAGCTAAAAGTACTGTGAACATTTATAACCTAGTTTAACAAATTCGTATCAGGAAGGATCACTGCGTCCTTCCTAGAACCTGAGTACTTTTAAAAATTCGTGTTGACTCAGGTAACGTACTTCTCAGACTCTGTTGTGTGCAGAAGCAAGTCACCACTGAGTCATGTTTACAATGAACGCAGGTGAAGGGACGGGAAGGTATTTACATGAAAGTGGCAGACTGCATCAGGTCCGAGCAGAAAGAGAAGTTTAAAACGTTCACAGATTTAGATACTCAGATCTGTTGTCTTTAGATAAGGCCCTATCCCCCATCCGTGCCCAAATTTAGCGCACGCCAAAGTCATTACAAACAAAGCCATTTTTAGTTGTGGGTGAAGATGGATCTGCTTTTCTTTCTCCTGACAAAAAAGGAAATATTTTCATGAATTTTAAAGTGCCCAAAAACCCCCAAATGGACTTATAGGGAGTTTTCTAAAGTCAAACAAAAGGGGGAAGTTAGCTGATGTTAAATATGAGAGAACCTGGTACCTGAATGAATTCTGTCCAAATATATTAAAAGTTTAGCAAAAATCAAAAGTGCAGGATATCTCATGGGTTCAGAATTGCTACTAAAATGTATGGATAAGTATATCATCTATTATATAATTTGTATTGTTATAATCGAAATATTCACTTGAAGCTGATGTTAAAGCATATTAAGAATTCAAGCATTGCCCTGGCTGCTGTGGCTCAGTTGGTTGGAGCATCATCCTGTGGACTGAAGAGTCGTCGGTTCGGTTCCTGGTTAGGGCACATGCCTGGGTTGTGGGTTTGGTTCCCTGTTGGAGTGTGCGGGAAGCAGACAATCACACTGATGTTTTTCTCCCTCTCTTTCTTCCTCCCTAAAAATCAATAAGCATGTCCTCCGGTAAGGATTTAAAAAAGAACACAAGCTTTGTTAACCAAGTTTACTATAATTTTCTATTGTTAGAAGTTGTGATCAGTAATTTTGTATCTCAGCCCTTCTCTTGTCAGGCTTTACACTAAGCAGAGCTCCCAACTGAAGAAAATATTTGAAAATACTTTCTTTTAGTTGCCTCTAACAGGAGACGCCTTGAGTGAGTTAAACCTGCTTGGTGCTGCTGACACCCCTGTTTCCACCGGCTGGCGGTGCTGACC